ATTTAAAGAATTTATTTCAGAGGTCTAAAATAAATTCTTTGTTTTGATGCTACTTCAAGACCAAATGAAACAATAGTAATAGTAAATGTAAAATCTCAAACTGACAAATTTTTTCCCCCTTGTAATTTATTAAAAACATTCAGTCAAAATTTGAAGATTTGAAGCAGTAGAAATACAGAAAACATTAATACATCACATAAATTTCTTACAGAGTAATGAATTTATGTGAAGTTCATCATGCACACAATATTTAAGTTCTCAGGATAATTATCTTTGGGCTACTTTTTTAAAATAAATTATTTTAATTTGTAACAATTTCTTTTATCAGTATTTTTTAAAAAAAGATATACAGTAAAACCTGTCTAAAATGGAACCTGAATAAAACAAACTTGCCTAAATACAAAACTTTGCAACAGAGCAATTTTCTATTAAATTTTACTATATGCCAGAAACCTGTCTAATGGGGAAGTTGAAAAGAGTTTTGGATATGAAGGATGTAATTTAACCTGAATAAAACAAAAAATTAAGAATCAACTTGTTGCAGACAAATGAATAAAATCATTTCCTGGTGTTATGATAATCACTTCTGAATATGACAAACTGTATTCTGAGAATGAGTTTGAATAATTTCAGAAAAATAAATGTCCCATGACAATGAATATACAAACACAAGGTATTTGTCAGAATTAACCAAGAGTAGAATCAAAAAGTTGTAAGATTTTAATGAGTTTCTTAGAACAGAGTTCAGGAACAAGAAATGAATGTAATTTATTGAAAACAATGAGGATAAAGTAATGAATGCTGCCAATTTTCTTTGTATGGATGTGTAGTAGTTTAGGTAACTGACTATTACTGAGAATTCAAGAACAAATTGATTAACATTATTAATAATTATAGAGATTGAAATTAATGATTCATTAGAAAATTAAATTCCTTGAAAGATCGGATCATAAAATAATATGATCTCTGTATTACTGTAATATAATTAGAATTTCCAACACCAGAGTGAAACAGTAGTTTAGTTCTCTAATTTATTTCTTTACTGTGTGTGATCTGAGAACTCTTAGTATTTGAATATCTAGCACAAGTTCTTGGGAATGAAAACATTTAGAATAGAATGATTCTTAATTTTTGCATTTGAACACTCCTATTTAGTCGAAATCATTTTGGATTAATTTATCTAATAAAAAATGTTTCTTAAATATTGTAATAAAAGTGATTAGACTTGCAGACCTATAAATTCCTGCCTGTCCTTCCTTAAGCTCTAAAAATGGAGTTAAGATAGAGGAAAGTTCAGACCAGATATGGAAAGTTTAGGAGCTAGAGATCCCAATTAATTATGTATGAACTTCTGGTTTGGACTGAAAATTACATTATTTCAATTAAAAAATTTTTCTCCAGAACAGAGATGACTGGCATGATTCTCTTGTCAACAGGAAAAGTATGATGTACAGGGGTAAGATACTACTATTGATAGAATTGATAGCATTATGACAGAAAGTGCAGCCCTGAATTGTAATGTCATCACAATAAATAACAGCTTGTTTTATTATAAAAATGAACATTACTGTGTGTGAAATTTATCTATCTAAAATTTGTATGATGCAGTTCACTGAACATTACCTTCTTCAACAAATGTTCCATAGTTCATATATTCCAAGCAAAAAACAATGTTTAAAATTACTAAAATAAATATATTTAATGTATTTCTAAATAGGAGATTTAAATTTAACATCTCTACATCTTTAAATAATTTGTTTTATTTATGTTAAATACTAAATTATAATACATAAAAAATGAATTTCTGTAAATTTATTCTTTGAATAATTTTTAATATTTTTATATGGAAATGACAATATTATTCATATTCAGACATCATATATTTAACAACAGCTTCATTCACACTGATACGTATTTTTAAAATTATTTTTAAAGCACATTTTTTAAAATGTTTTATAAAACATACATCAAGTGACACCTAAACAATTATTAACATAAAATTATATTCATGCAATAAAATCTCTATAGCATGCAGTCATGCAATAACAATGCAAAAACATCACAAAGCATATGAAAAAATTGTGTACAGAGAAAATTTATTTGCAAAGCAATTTCAAATTAACAACACAGCAAGCTTGCACAAACATATTGAATTTATTCCAAAGCTATTTCCTGTTTGTTTTCATTGTAGCTCACATAACCCACCTGAAAATCTATGGTCAGGAGGGAGTGTGGGATGAAGGTCCTTGTTACAAAAATCATATTCATTACAGCAGATTGTGACTTTTATGATTCCAGGCTTGGGTTTGTGACACATATGTGGTTTGTCTGGAGGAAAGTGCTTCTCTTTATGTAAACACCTGAATTAATGAAAAAAAAAAAAAGTTAAATTCAATACATCTGATTCAATACATAGCTTTTCTTACCTGAGGTGGTAGTAGGGGGTGCTAATGTTGGAAAAAGATCACGATTACAGTAGTCATAACCATTGCAGCATTTAATTACAAATTGTGTATTTCTACCTTCTGATTGATGACAAACAACAGGATTTTCTGGGGGATGCAGTTCATGCTTTTGAAAGCACCTACATAGAATAATAAATGGACAAGATTTTATAAATGTTGTTATTTATGACAACATTTATAAAGCATCATAGAAAACTTAGGATGATCATCTAATTATTCTTGAGCACAACATTAATGTTACTTTACTATCTTATTTTAAGGAAAATATTCTAGTAATAAAAACAAAATAAGAAGTTAATATATTTAAATTTCTAAAATAATGTTATCAAAATTACAATTTATTTATTAATCTAAAATATTTTTGGAGATTGTTTCATGAATTTTCAGCATCCTAAAAAGTAAAACAGCAATATGCTAAATTCAACTTTGATAACTTGATGTGCTGAAATCCCAACAAGCCTAATATTCTGACAGATGAATATAATATAGCAGAAGCTCCTTATTCATGAAGGTTACGTTCTATAAAATTGCCATGAATTACTGTGAATACAAGAAGAAAGAATATTTTGAAAAAGTATATAATTAATAAATAAAAAATTGAAAAAAGTGTTTTTATATAAAGAAATTTTTCTGCCATATTTCTAATCTCANAAATTAAAAAATTATAATATATTTTAAATTTAGAAGCAGCAGCAGTGTTGTCAGCTTGAGAGATTAATTAATTAAATTAATCCCTCAGCATAACATGTTTTTCCCTACAAAGGGATTTTGTTAGAAAACAGCCAAAAACGTAGGGATGCTTAATTAAAATACTTATTTTTAATCCCCATAGATAGAAACGCAACTCTGAAGAACTAGATTTTGGCTAATAATCACAATATGGCATGAGTACATAACTTTAATTGATATTGGCTCAATTTTGGCTTCTGAATTTATAATGAGAGGGATTTTTTAAATGCATGAAAGACTTTACATACGTGAAAGGAACTTTTGTTTACTATAACCTAACAACACTAAGCAGAAGTTGTGATTTTGAGTCCCACTCAGGGCTGAGTATTTTCTTCCAGAAAATTCTAATCCAATAGTCTGATAATTTGGCAGATCGTTTGGCTTTAAAATTATTTTTGAGTGGTTCCATATCTTAATTGAGCACATGGAAATGACCAAAAAAGTGAAAAAATGACCTGAAAAGTGAGGATACTTCAAAAAAGTGAGTGCAAGTAAGAAAAGTGAGTGACTCCCAAGGCCTGTAAAATGTATTTTATATTTTTTATTTGTGCCATCACTGGAAGGAAATCCTGTAACATTTTTCATAGTAAGGCAGATGAGCCACCTCTAATAAAAGGTTGACTCTGCCGTAAGACTTATTTTCCTGAGGTATAAGAAAGGACATAAAAAAACTCACTATTGCATAGTCTTAAAATGTATTAATCCCTAATAATCTATTTACTGTGTGTTTGATATCAAGGAGATTTAAGACAGTCTTTCAATTGTCCTGTTATTGTATTATTGGCATTAATTATATTTAAGTACATTTAAGTACCAAGGCAACAGATGTACAACTGCTCTAGTATTTTTATTTGAAATCCTTCTTTACTTTCATCTACAAGAGCTGGTTTTGTTCCAAAGAACTTTGGCATCACAATCCCAATCCCAAATCCATTGCACAAGAGAGATGCTAAACCTGTATTGCATAAAACTTACTGAATGAAAATGTTCTTTTATTGTTACATAGAGATCATGTAGTGGATCCTATAAAGTAGGAGTTCTGATTATTATTAGTCAGCTTTAGAGATAAATTCCTGATTTTGATAGCATCCCTATATTGTTTTGTCACTATATAGTATAGTCATGATTGTAGAAATGTTATAGAAACAACAAACAAAACATAGTATTATGGAAAAAATAAAGATAACATAAAAGAAATGGATAAAAAAGCAGGATTATTATTAGTTATGGGCAAAAAAGCCATAACATTAGTAATGCTTTACATAAAGAAGTGTGAGATCTGAATAGCCCCTGTAACTAATTAATAATTAAATTAAATTGTTAAAATTTAAACGAAAAATATTATTTGATTTTGGTGGGAAAATTAGGTTTTTCTAAACGAGGGAAACTGATAAAAAGTTACTTCCTGCAACGGAAGTTGAAACATCCTTTTGTACTATAAATCTCAGCACCCTGGAAATTGTTAACCCCTTAATAAATCCCCTTTTCCTCTGTTCACATGAGAGAATCCAAAAGTGGAGAACTGATTGGAGAACAGTCGTGAGAAATAGAAAGAATTTTGCACAATTCGAGGAGTACGTCACGAAGTTCCATAGAAGGAAGACGTATTCCATATTGGCTCCCTAAGGCTAACGCCCTTAGTTAAGAGTACACCAGAAGATCTCCTAGAAGACAGACGTATTCCAGATCATCTCCTGAAGGCCAACACCCATATTAGACTCCCATGTGTTGATAGGTTAGTAAATAGGGAAGAAAACCTATAAATATATGCCAGGCAAGACCTACCTAGAAAAGACTGAAGGCCCTCATTAAAGATACATGAAGAAGAGAAAAAGTATCCAGAGGTAGTATGATTACGATAAAAATTGTGAGCTCTCTCTCTCTCAATACGTTTAGATTAATTATTCCACTTTGTATGATTTTTGTTATTTCGTTCATTAAATTTTTGTTTTATTATTGTTAAGAAATGTCTCCTCATATTTGAATCACCCCGAGAGATGCATTTCTGGATCATCTCAATATGCGTGTTAATCCGCGTATAACAAAATTGATTAACTGGTGTTGGGAATCCTGACGAGGGAACGAGTGATTACGAAATCCTCTAATCCCACTTTGCATTAACCTTCAACCTGTAAGTCCCTCTGCACTCGACTTATTTTGAATAGAAACCCATCCTTTTAGACAGAGGGCTATTCTAGAGAATAGTTGCTGAGTAAGTGATACTGAAGTCAGGGTTACTCATTATCCCTGGCTAGCCCCTCACAGAAGCATCAGTTTAGTAGTCAGAAAGTTTCCTGTAGTCACTACCACATTAGTGACAAAAACAATATGAGGAATACAATCAAAATTGGGAATTTACGTGCTAAAACCATAATAATCAAAACTCCTACTTTATGCAATCAACTACAAGATCTCTATGTAAAAGAATAAGAAGAACATTTTCATTCAGTAAGCTTTATGCAATATAGGTTTAGCATCTCTCTTATGCAATGTGTTTTGTTGGACTGTGACGCCAAAGTTCTAAGGAATAAACCAACTCTTATAGATGAACGCAAAGGATTTAAAAAATATTCAAACAGTTGTAAAGATTTACAACTTATTTGTGTCTTACCTTTAATTATTTTCTACACTTTTCATCTTTAGCAGTGTATGCATTTAATTCATTAGATTAGTAAAACAGCACAATGATTGATGTGAATTTAAAACTATTAATTTGATACCATTTTATTCTACATTCTATTGAAAGTTATAAATTTGATTTCAAAAAACTTTTGGCTGAAGCTAATTTGAGAAGAATCAAAAACATTTCCAAGAAAACATTTTCATCTTACAAATAGGCAGATTTGTATTACATATGTTAATATGGTGCCATGTTTTAAGGGTTAAAATAATACATTTATAGAATACATTGGTAACTTCATACTTTGAATGATACTAACTTCAAATGTTCCAAAATTTGAATGCTAAGTTTGAAAGAAATTCAATCTGGAGTTTGAACAATAAATCCATATTTGAACTGCACATGCATAAAAAAAATGCACTCTCAGCATAAATACCATCTGATATGCACCCAAGTCATCTCTTGTTCTCAATCTAAAAGCATCTCTTGCATTACACTCATGTATTTTCAGTGCTTTTTTAAACTTTATTTTTAGATGTGTTTGGTTATATATACAGTAGAGCATCGTTTATCCAAATCAATTGGGGACTGGGATTGTTCGGATAACTTATTTTTCGGATAACCAATTATGTACGAAAAAATATATTAATTTATCCTGTGTTGAAATTTTTCTCCGTTGCATGTCGCTTTGCATTGAATTTTCGTCGATGTTAAGCCTAACGAAGACTATTGTATTGTTAAATACGAACAAAATAAATATATTGAAAAATATAAAAACAATAAAAAATTATACTTCAGAAGTTAATTTAGTATCAAAAACATAAAATATTTGAGTAGCCAAAGACATAGCCAAAGATTACAGCGCCACAGCACTGACGAAAATTTAAATTTGTTGACTGGAGCTCTTTCGGATAACCGACGTTTTCGATAAACGATGCTCTACTGTATTTAACTACTTATTAATTATGGCATTCAAGAAGAATGTGGAAGCAATGAACTCTAAGAGTAAGTATTGATGATTGAGGTGAAAAAGGAACTTGTTGAAAAATATAAAATCAGCATATATATGGCAGATCTGGTAGCAATGTTTAAGATACCAAAGTTGACAATGTGTGACTAGTATCATATTTTTGAAGAATGACCGGAATGTGGCATATAAATAGGGAAGACCAGCATGCCAGTTAAACTTCAACTAAAATATAAAATTAATCAAGCTAACAAAACTAGCTGTTAAACATTAAAAAAAATATTCTTCCCAGTACAATAACATAACAACATTGTAATTTGACTGACTTAAAATCTGGAAGAGAGTTTTTGTTTACAAGACAATAAAACAATTAACAACTTATTGACTGTAGTAGTAGTAGTAATTCAGTGAGAGCTATAATGTCTTAAAAATAACACCTTTCTCTTAAATTTCACAGAAAGTCCTTGTTAATCCATGCAAGCTGAGATAATTTACAGCAAGTTTCTTAAATTTAACATGTTTATTTTTATAATGACACAATCAGAACCAAATTACAGTGTGATAAAAAACAAAAAAAAAAAAAAAAAGAACTTTTTCAAACCCCTTCTGGGCTCTGCGTCAGGTGTTCAGAACCAAATTACAGTGTTATAAAAAAAACATTGAAAACATTTGTTTTTTGATGTTTTTTTATCACACTGTAATTTAGTTCCAAGTGCATCATTATCATTAATTTGGTGTGGTGAGTAGTTATTTACTGTTTATTTTTATGTTTTTGAATCAAATAACAATAAAATACACACAAAAAAAGCACTTTTGGAATTCCAGGAGTATTTTACCTTGTTAGAAAGAAGACAAAATGAAGAAATTAAACATATAATTGTAATTTTTAATGTAATGTTAACAGTTTCACAATTAGAATACAATTAGAATATGGTAAATGCAATTTTCATTCTATGCTTGTTTTTGTGACATAACTCATTCACTTTTTTAACATGCCCTCTAGAGAGGAATATATAACCTCACTTAAACCAGAATGTTGGTTTTTATCATACAGAAATATCTGATTTCATGGTTTCCCCAGACAGACTGGCATGCCAGTCATTCCACAAAAATATGGTAAATGCAATTTTCATTCTATTATACAGTATGTATTTTATTTATTGTTTTGATGTTTAATTATGTTATTTTTACCTTGAATTATGTGTATTTGCTGTTTACATTTATCAAAAAGGATGTTGTTTAGGGTCTAGGAATTTACTTTCCATTATTTCTAATGGGGAAAACTGATTCAGAGTTCAAATGACCTCCTGAAACAAATTAAATTCAAAGTACGAGGCACCAATGTATACTTATTAGTTAATTCCGCAAATGATTAAAATTTTGAATCTATTATCACACCTATCTTCAAACCATTTCAAACTTAAAAGTATACTTTTCCATCACTTCTCAATATGTATATATATAATATAGGAAGAAGAGAGAAATGATTGATAACAGATTGTTGAAGTTGTTGGTTTTATAGCTTTTGAGCCAGGTAATGGCATTTATGCTTTAATTTATGAATGGTAATAAGTAGATTATAAATTCAATAGCTATTTCCATGTTAAAATGTTCAAATCATGCACATAGTATTAGATAAAATTTTAAAATAATTTGTTTATGAAAAAATTTCAATGAATAGTGACCTATTTTGTTGCCATTCCAAGCACAGAATTCAGATTTATTAATGTTAAATGAAATTTCTTAATTGTTACATTTTAGGCTATTGATTGTTGTTACAGTGCAGATCATGATGTTTAATGCATTAGTTCTCATAAATAGGGAGAGCTGTTTAATAAAATTCTGAAATTAAACATGCTCAAAAATTATGCAAAAACTTTAAATTCGATAGTACATTTTTATATTTGTTGTTATTTTTTAAAGTTTTCCTTATTTAAATTATATATATATATAAATATCTATATTTATGTATCATTTTAAAATTAAATTTATGAGAACCTCTTGTTAGCAGCATCATGAAGTACTGTCTGATACCTTACCTGGTGTACAGATTGTACAGATGTTGAGATAGAATGGATTTGGTTAAGAATTTAATAGTTATTAGATAGAACAACTGGTGTTAGTATAAAGATACTGGTTGTTAGCCAAAATTGCTGAATAAATCTTACTTTGCACATTTATTTTGTGCCCTTTTTATAATATAAGGTTCTAAACACTATTAGCAGCAGACTGATAACCAGTTATCTGAAGACTAATACTGGATATTAGGCAATTATCTTCCCTGCCTGTACAAAATTACTCTTAACAGGCATAGATACTGGCAACCCATATGCACATGTTAAGTTTTCATTGTAAATTTATGTACAAAGTATAACAGAGTGAGAGAGAGAGAGAGAGAGCTTATATATCCAGATGTTTTGTTTATATAAATATATAAATATATATATATATATCACACATATACACACACATACAAGCATACACACATAACACATACCACCTCCATCCAGGGACTTGGCCCTTTTTACATATGAAAATTAGTATATAGTGCACTAATTTGTGTTGTTTTGGGGAACTGCCAGTATATTAGTGGATAATACAGCCCGAAGCTGTTGGATGCAGACCATTGAGCCTTAACTGGAAACTGGAATTTATTTTGTGTTCAAGTTAAATTTTAGTAGCATGATTTTAAAATATAATTTGTTCAGAGTTTAATATAATTAAAAATATCATATAATCAACTTCTTTATCAGAGTTATATTATTATTTTGGTCATTGCACCAAATGTTTCTCTATTGTAGATCGGTTGATTGTATAGATATCTTGATACATGTTATTACAAATTATATTATATGTTGTAACTAAAGAATAGCCTTTATGGCAATCATAAAGAATTGTTATTAATATTTTCACTGCTGACAATCAGCAGAAAAGTTTTATTGTATATCTTTCCTCTGAAAATCTTAAATTCACAGTTTTTTGACAATGATATATCATTGTCTATCTTTTTGCACACATTATTGCCTGTACTTTAACATCTACTTCTGTACTGATCATTGAATGTTTGCAGAAAAATAATTGCAGAAGCACCATTAAATTTCTCTTCATCAAGTTTACATTTCTTGTTTTCAATTTGTATATATTTGACAGTGTTCTAAACAAACAGTTACATTAGTGAACATATATTTTTTTCTCAAACTTTCATTCCCAAAACTTAAAGATTTTTGTGTTCTCATTCTGAATCCCTCATGAAATGGCTGTTGAGCCATGTTTGCACCTTGCCTTCCCTACAGAAGTCAAAGAAAGTTATACATAAATGAAATATTTTTTGTTATAATATTTTGAAATTTTAACTTGTGCAATACAGTAGAATAGAAAATAATAATATAGGAAATAAATATTAAGTTTTAGAAAAATTAAATCTTGGATATAGTGATTTTTTTATTTTTTAAATATTTTTATTAAATATTATTTATATTTATCAAAAAGTAAAATATTTTACAAACATTTATTACTTGTTACAAATTCCATAAAACATTTATGTTTTAAATTTATATTACTGAATTTTACTTAAAATATATGGNGAACACTCCTATTTAGTCGAAATCATTTTGGATTAATTTATCTAATAAAAAATGTTTCTTAAATATTGTAATAAAAGTGATTAGACTTGCAGACCTATAAATTCCTGCCTGTCCTTCCTTAAGCTCTAAAAATGGAGTTAAGATAGAGGAAAGTTCAGACCAGATATGGAAAGTTTAGGAGCTAGAGATCCCAATTAATTATGTATGAACTTCTGGTTTGGACTGAAAATTACATTATTTCAATTAAAAAATTTTTCTCCAGAACAGAGATGACTGGCATGATTCTCTTGTCAACAGGAAAAGTATGATGTACAGGGGTAAGATACTACTATTGATAGAATTGATAGCATTATGACAGAAAGTGCAGCCCTGAATTGTAATGTCATCACAATAAATAACAGCTTGTTTTATTATAAAAATGAACATTACTGTGTGTGAAATTTATCTATCTAAAATTTGTATGATGCAGTTCACTGAACATTACCTTCTTCAACAAATGTTCCATAGTTCATATATTCCAAGCAAAAAACAATGTTTAAAATTACTAAAATAAATATATTTAATGTATTTCTAAATAGGAGATTTAAATTTAACATCTCTACATCTTTAAATAATTTGTTTTATTTATGTTAAATACTAAATTATAATACATAAAAAATGAATTTCTGTAAATTTATTCTTTGAATAATTTTTAATATTTTTATATGGAAATGACAATATTATTCATATTCAGACATCATATATTTAACAACAGCTTCATTCACACTGATACGTATTTTTAAAATTATTTTTAAAGCACATTTTTTAAAATGTTTTATAAAACATACATCAAGTGACACCTAAACAATTATTAACATAAAATTATATTCATGCAATAAAATCTCTATAGCATGCAGTCATGCAATAACAATGCAAAAACATCACAAAGCATATGAAAAAATTGTGTACAGAGAAAATTTATTTGCAAAGCAATTTCAAATTAACAACACAGCAAGCTTGCACAAACATATTGAATTTATTCCAAAGCTATTTCCTGTTTGTTTTCATTGTAGCTCACATAACCCACCTGAAAATCTATGGTCAGGAGGGAGTGTGGGATGAAGGTCCTTGTTACAAAAATCATATTCATTACAGCAGATTGTGACTTTTATGATTCCAGGCTTGGGTTTGTGACACATATGTGGTTTGTCTGGAGGAAAGTGCTTCTCTTTATGTAAACACCTGAATTAATGAAAAAGAAACTAAGTTCAATACATCTGATTCAATACATAGCTTTTCTTACCTGAGGTGGTAGTAGGGGGTGCTAATGTTGGAAAAAGATCACGATTACAGTAGTCATAACCATTGCAGCATTTAATTACAAATTGTGTATTTCTACCTTCTGATTGATGACAAACAACAGGATTTTCTGGGGGATGCAGTTCATGCTTTTGAAAGCACCTACATAGAATAATAAATGGACAAGATTTTATAAATGTTGTTATTTATGACAACATTTATAAAGCATCATAGAAAACTTAGGATGATCATCTAATTATTCTTGAGCACAACATTAATGTTACTTTACTATCTTATTTTAAGGAAAATATTCTAGTAATAAAAACAAAATAAGAAGTTAATATATTTAAATTTCTAAAATAATGTTATCAAAATTACAATTTATTTATTAATCTAAAATATTTTTGGAGATTGTTTCATGAATTTTCAGCATCCTAAAAAGTAAAACAGCAATATGCTAAATTCAACTTTGATAACTTGATGTGCTGAAATCCCAACAAGCCTAATATTCTGACAGATGAATATAATATAGCAGAAGCTCCTTATTCATGAAGGTTACGTTCTATAAAATTGCCATGAATTACTGTGAATACAAGAAGAAAGAATATTTTGAAAAAGTATATAATTAATAAATAAAAAATTGAAAAAAGTGTTTTTATATAAAGAAATTTTTCTGCCATATTTCTAATCTCATTCTTTTTTCTTTTAATGTATCTGATAATAGACTCATTTACAATGAAAGTGTAAGAAACAATAGCTGTTAAATTTCTTTCCTGTATATAATCTAATACATTAAATTTGTTTTTGAAGGACACCACATTCTTTGATCTTTTGGATAATTTACCATTTCTCTGTTTTGTTTAGATGACATTATTGATTTGTAAGGATAGAAGAATGACCTTTTGATATTATAACACTGACATTCTCTTTACTTATTGTAAAACATAATGCTTACTATTAACTTAAGTGCACATAGTAAAATAATCCAAGAAATTATGAGATAAAATTCATTAGTATAGTTAACAGACAATAAGAAGACAAACTGTAGTATAATATGTTTATATTAATACTAAACAGATTAAACATCATTCTTTCTTAACTGAGTTTGTTATTTTTGTTAATTCTTATGCAACACAGTATATGATGACCTTTCGGCATTAAAACTCTTCTAATAAACATAAAATTGTCAATACTTCCTTGAATAAATGAATTTTAGCTTTGCAAATATTGAACTGTAAATACACAAAATGTGAAATTATGGAACTTCTACTGTACTAAATAAAATAATTTTCAAATAATAAAATATTCCAGTAGTGAAAAATTTTGATGTGATAAATGCTAATTCTTATTAAGAAAAGTATGCAAGATGTTATTTTTCATTAAAATTAAGTTATAGTGTTATAAAGTTATAAATACAAAAATAATTAGTAACAACTCTACTAAAAACTGAGCATCATATTTTTCAATAATATATAACAGACATGGGCAAATGCAACTCCGAGAGCTGTATGTAGCTCTTTTTGAGTTACATGCAGTTCTTGCCGAAAGTGTTAATTTCTGCTTTTTATTATCATTTTTACAATTTTATTTCCACAATTTTGTGAAATTATGTTTATTAAAAAAATTCAATATTTGTTTTATATTATATTTATATTATATAATAAAATTGCAGTACAGAACTGTGGTACAGAATAAAAAAGTACAGAACTGTAGCTCCCATGCATTTTGAAAAACCTACATTTCGGCTCCCACTGAACTCTTGCTTGCTCACCCGATTTATAATATAATTACTATATTATAAAATTACTTTAGAAACATGTAAATGAAGAGCAATGCATCTACAGTGTCAAATAATTTAATCATATTCAGATAATGTACTGAATACATTTGTCTTAGCCAAAATTTTGATCACAGAAACATCATTTTATTAGTAGTTTGTGAATTATCATCATGTCAGGATATTTTCAATTTGGGATTTTGTACCTTTTCAGACTGTTAATGTCAGAATTCAGCATATAGTAATAAAACATTTTACAGAACCTTCTTAAATAAAAACTCCAGTAAGTCATCACCGATAGAAAGACTAATGTTTCAATCCTCCCTCTGGATCTTCCTCAGGTCAATAGTTTTAGAATTATATCACTTTTTTGAATATCTGCAATCGTTGTTTTTTAAAATGTTCTGCTTTTCTAATGCATTTTCTAAACTGTTGACCTGAGGAAGATCAGAGGGAGAATAAAAAATGTTAGTCTTTCTATGGGTAATAACTTACTGGAGTTTTTATTTAAGAAGGTTCTGTAAAGTGTTTTAGTACTATATATTTAAACCAGGGGTGGCCAAACCGTGGCGCATGAGCCAAACTTGGCGCATTGGACGATTACAAGTGGCGCTTTAGTCAGTTCTGAGCAACATTGCCAGATTTGGCTTCTTTGCAATTAAGAATATTACATAGAAAATTAATTTTTTATAGTCTGTCTTGGCAAGTTCATTTGTTGCACAATTCGTTGCAATCAACTTTACAGATAAAATGAGTGTTCTCCACATAGTAAATTACAGTGTATGCATGTATGTTTATTTTCGATCAGTGCATAGGCGTCTAAATGACAGTGCTACCGTCCGGACAGTCCACGAGTCGGTTGGACTGCTACACCTGTTGACCTTTTTTTTTTT